AGAAAGAAAATGGTTTAAAAACCTCAGATGAAGGAATAATCTTAGACAGGAAGAGGAAAACTTCCTCTGTCCCCAGGGACATGAAAAAAGTAGCTGTGCAGCACTTATGTCTAAACTGAGGTTGTAAACAATGAATATACATTGTTATATACTTTTTACAGTCATCCAGAGGACAAGCAAAGAGAGATGGTTTGGTTGATTTTGATCGGACAGGAGTGTGAGAAAGACAAGAAAGCAAGGAAATTGAAAGCACTGAAGAGAGAGATTAACAGGGATTCCAGACTGAGAAGAGAGCTGCTGAGAAAATAGCCATCTTGATATGGTCAGAAAGTAAATATGGTGCAAATTAGAAAGATAATGGGTGATAGTCAGGTGGGTTTTTACTTTTGACTTTACAATGAGAGATGACCCGGACCCCAAATCCCTATATCCTGGACTAGACAAATGCAAAACATTTACAAGAAGAGACACGAGATGCTAATGCAAACTGGTCGCACTGTTTGCTAGTATTTCGTCCCATATCCCTATGTAGTGTTTTATCCTCATGACCTGAGTAAGAAGAACTTAAAGATCTACAACCTTTTTTGCCTCTTTGGCTTACGTCCTTCCCTGGATCCAGGCTGAGTGCTATTTGATGCTTGTTTTCTCCTGAGCCCTGCCTTGGTCTCTGCTTGGTCTTTACTGCCTGTATGTGGTAACAGTAACATTTTGAAAAGAGAGCAACACACTAAGATAAAAAAAAAGTTAAACTGTTTGCTCCTCTATTCTAAGATGTTATCCTTAATATAGTAAAACCCTGTGTGTCTGTGAGCACTCCTTTTTGTTGATTCACTTTAGTTTTTCAGTGAACAGGTTGGGTGCATCAGGAAGCCTTGTACTTCTTCTAGATAAGTGGTTCTCAAGTTGTGGAGGTGAGGGTAGGAGGAAAAAAAAAAAGATATGAAAGTATCCCAGGGAATGCTTCCAAGGGGAAGAGAGTGCTCATATCTCTGTGTGTGCAGGGGGAGGAGGGAGCATTGTAAAAACTTTCAGGGGGTACTGATAAACACCTGTCTTTCTTCTGACTGAAAATCACTGTCCTACAGGTGAGCAGGTAAGAAGACAGGAGTGATATTGGAGTTTAATATTTGAGAGGTGGGATGGCTCTGGTAGGTGATAAAGTCCAGGAAGTGGGCTTACCAGGGTGGAACGGAGGTGAAAAGTTTTGGAGTAGAGGCCAGGAAAAATGAGGCTGGAATGCTGGGTATGTCCACCACAGGGTGGTTGAGCTTTGGCTTTCTCCTTTATTACCTGCAACACTTTCCCGAGCATCAGGTACATAGTGTATGTTCAATAAATACTCTTAATAGACTGTGTACATTTCAGAAAAATGTATTACTTTTAATATCAATTATGTGAGCATGCAACATTGCTAAATACAAAAGTCATACAAGCTCACAAATGACTTCAGAGACTGCCACTTGCAATTAAAGAACAATTTAGGCCCTATAAAGACATCATAAACATAGATCCGTTCCTGTTTTCACTTGATGACTATACATTTTCACCCTATTACTACTGGCTTCACTCAGAAACTCTATTGCCCACAGTTACATTTCTTTACCCCTTAATGCTTCTCTGAAGAGAAACAGCCATTATCAGTCATCTTCTAAAACGGTGTATTTCCACTGTGCCTGAGTAAGACTCAAGTGTTGGGCATTTACAGTACACAGCTCTGGGGATATTGCCTAAAAATTGGAGGCTGCCTGTCTATTATCTGTTGGAAAAACATTTCTATGAATTTATGATATCAATATGTCAGCATAGGACACTTACAATTGATAAAAGGTAAATTTGAAAAGTTTACACTTGTTGCAAATAAGTTGAAAAACGGAAAATTTCAATTTCTAGTTAATTAAACAAAATGAGTAGCATGGAACATAAAAAGTCTGAACCATGCTAAGTTTACAGGCTCCATGTCAGAAAAAATGTCTTCTGGGAAGTATAACACAAAAAAATAAGTTGACATTAAATTTATTACTATTATTTTTTAGATAAAAGTGCTACTCACATCTGTGTCATTGCTCATCTAGGTAACCTTGAGAAAAGCAATTGCCCTTTCTGGGACTCAGTTTCCTCCTCTAAAATATGGAGGCTGATTCAGTCCATCTCTAAAAGTTCCCTTCCAGATAAACATGCTCTGTAACTGGCTTCAACTTTAGGGCACGTGCAGTAGAAAGCTCCCTGGAGACAGATAAACAGTTTCAAATTTTATTCATCATTTATTAGCTTTTCAAGCTTGTAAAAGTTATACTTTATTGAGCCTTAATTTCCTTATTTATGAAATGGAATAACGCTACCTCTTTAATTGAATTGTTTGAGGATTAAATGGGATAATATGTGCTGTGAAGTGAATAGCATAAAGTCAGTTGGTTAACAGGAATTCAATGTGTATTATCAAATCAGTGTCTTAGTATTCTACTCTTTCCTTCTCTCCTTAAAAATTCAATTCCTTGTATGTTACTGACTTGCAAGTAAAAGATATTATGATAAAATTTGGAAGATACTATGAACTTTTGCTGAGCAACATTTGTAGGATGTGAATGTTTTGGAAAGCTGATTTTTATTTTCTGGCTTGGGAATACCTCTGGATTTGAATATAGCAGACAAAGTAGCAGTAAGAGGTCAAAAATAATTCAAAGGCTCCATATGACTTCACCATTTAGCAACTATTATATATTCAAAGACAGGCATGATGCCACATGCATTAATAATAGTATATCACACAGGAATATAAATACTCCACATATACTCAGCACTAGTCCTAAACTTTACAAAATCACATGAAATCAGTTTGGAATTCCACAATTTTAAGGATGAAGAGAACTTTACCTAGAATCACAAGAAAGCTATGAGGATAATAAATAAGGATATTAAAAAGTGATTGTATGGGTTGGATGTGCTAAATAGACTAGCAGAAATTGTCTAAAATAGCCCCAGGAACCTCTTTTCCCACTTGCGAGTCTATTAATAGGTGGATTTGTTTGAACGTTAACTGGACATTTTGGATCCTACTGGGTTAAGCAGAAGGAAGTACTCTAAAATTTAATCTTTCCTATTGTCTCAATGACTCACACTGTTAACATTTTTTCTAGTAATATGTGATTGAGGACCATGTGATACCCATGCCCTTATTCCACTCATTCAAAAAGTACTGTGAAGGGAGATGAGGGCAGACTTACCTTTCATCCTTTATGTAACTACAAAGGAGGGCTGAGTTCCTGGTATGTCCATTGAAATGCTGCTTAACCTACTTCACGTGGGATTGTATCTAAGACCTCAAGGACCGTTAAATGGGGTCTTTATTGCAAAGGGTCTTCCTGTTGCCTGCCATTTGTCCAGTAATTCATGAGCCATTGGCATATTACTGGTGCCTTATATATTACCACTGAGAAATGATTTCATAATACTGACCAGTGAGATTACACAGCTCATAGAAACTTTCCATATAAGAACCACGATGTCAAAACACAGCAGAGGCCACTAATAGTATTAATGAGGATTTTGTCAGCTTCTAATGATGATTATTATTGTATCAGAATGGAATTCACACTAATTATTAGTAAAAGTTTACAAACATTAGAAAGTGCATAATAACATTTGGATCTGATAGGGCTGAAAAAAGACATGAAAAACACAACACAAGGGCTTTACTTTTGTGATTGGTGTCCACATGATTGCAAGATCATTTTCTACATCTTTTGCTGCTCCGTGGAGATAAGCTGTCCTCCAAATTTTAATAGTATCATACAGCACTGTGATAAATTTGATTCCACAGAAGAAAATATTTCCCATGCTTAGTATTATCTTGTATTCTCTTTCCCACCACCCCAATTCTCAGAAATCCTCATAATTGGAAATAAAAATATTCGTTGGAAAAAGTTCTCCACTTGGGAATAAGACAAAATTTGCAGTTTGAATTCTGGTCTGTGTAGACACCAAACAGACTGAATTCAGGTAATATTCACATTAATGGATATTTTCAAATGCCTGTATAATAAGCAAAGGAGTCTTGATGAATCTGTTAGACTTAATTCATCAGCTGTGCATTAAGGGGAAAGATTAAGTTTTAAAAAATGTGTGCTCTCAGGGCTTCCCTGGCTTCCCTGGTGGCACAGTGGTTGGGAGTCGGCCTGCGGGCACCAGGGGACACGGGTTCGTGCCCCGGTCCGGAAAGATCCCACATGCCGTGGAACGGCTGGGCCCGTGAGCCATGGCCGCTGGGCCTGCACGTCCAGAGCCTGTGCTCCGCAACGGGAGAGGCCGCAGCGGTGGGAGTCCCGCGTACCGCAAAAGAAAAAAAAAAAAAGTGTGTTCTATCCTGTGCACACCACCACACGATGGAGCAGAAATTTTAGGCAGCCCTTTTAAAAATGAGTAGTATAAAAATTCACAGTAACGTACATCATTTTTGTTTTTCATAAGCAATCAAAGAAGGGGGCAGTGCTGAGCATCTATATTGTATAATACAAAACAGTGTAAATAACACAGCAGGAACACACAGATACATAATGCTAAAAACAGTGCTTTCTGGATGGTTCTTTTACTGGGTGAATACTTGGGCCAGAGATATTTAAACTCTGGGGTTCAACCAACCCTTTGCGATTAGACACAATTAAATCCTCTGACATTGTGAGGGGCCAGATGCTACAGGAAGAATCATCATCTAGGTCGGTGCTACTCTCTACAAGCATTTAATCATATGGTCAAGTGAAAGGATCCGTACAAAAATGACATCCAAACACAAGCCACATGATTTCAACCATTGCTGATGCCAGAGGTAGAGAAAAGTCTGTCTGCAGCCACAGCCTCTGCCCCCATTTTTAACATAACAAGCAGGTTCCTGCAATGCAGCACAGCCATTTTCTTTTTCCCCTTTTCACTCTTGGAAATAAATGCATTCCAGCCAGGCCTGGAGATCTGAGACATTGTCAGGTGTTGATGAAGATCAAAGTGGGGTGTTAACTTTCAGATTTTGCTGCTTCTCCCTGGGCTTCCCCACTTTGTTCTGTTGAATTTCGCTGTGCATCTTCTTCACCTTCTGTTAGAGACATAAAAAAGGATAAAAGCAAAATAAAAATGATTGCTTATATTTACTGACTCTCAGTATATCATATTGGAAATTTCAGAAATACTCAAGTCTGAAATTCTCATAGAGACAAGTATATTTTCTTGGTAATCAATTCCCCATCAAGAAAACAGCTTAAGTGTTTCAAGGGCTAATTCTGGTTCTGGAACAGCATGGCTCAAAAACAAAATAATAACTGAATTTTTAGAATGGTTAGGGATGCTCTATGCTTCTGATAAATAGCTGGGAAATCTCATGGCCAGGTCATGGCATGGCACTTGTACTTTCATAGGTTGCAGAAATCAGAAGTAGGGAACAAGTTTACCTTTTGATGCCTGACTATCTTATATTAAGAAATATTTTAAAATTACATTTTACATTATTCTGAATACTTGATGATAACCTAGCTGACTTCTCATAGGTTTAATTAACTTAAATTGAAAGCAACAGTAGAAGGACATTATGTCAGCTGGTTAGTCCCTTGTCAAATAGTTATGATGGCCTCTGGCCTGCCCTTACAGAACATATGTACAAATCCAAGAAAACCACTTTCATAACTGTACCCTTAGCAACAATCTCAGCCATAGCAACACTAAAATTAAACAATGATTTCCCTCCATATTAGGTCACTTTACCTGGGTGCAAGCTGCAGGCAATTCTTGATTCAAAGATTCAAATATTTGCATGTGTTAGCTGTTACTAAGCGACCAATATGGCTTAGTGGACAGAATATTTGGGGGTGTTGCAATAATGTGTGTTATATTAATTTTTGCTAAGAGTTTATTACCATAATTCAAATTAATTGAGGTAAGTAGGCTGCCCATTATTTAGATGGAAATGTTGAAGGTAACTTCTCCTTTACACTTAACAAGTACACACAAGACACCTCACCATGCACCATACTTTAGGGAAATTAAAAGCAGTTTTTCCACATAAAAATCATATTCTGTTCTAAAGGTGTTCCAAGAATATCATGATGCATTATATAGAATTTTCATATACTATCTTCACTATTAGAGAAATGAACAAGCCCCCAAGGTATGCAAATGGCCTGAATCTGAGATGTGTAGATTAGCATGAAATAAGAACTCGACAAATAGGAGAAGCTCTGTCAACCAAAGGAATGAAGTCATATTAGGGCAGATGCAAGACAGTAGAATATTAAGGATGAAAGTGACTGCATAAATACAAGATGAGGATCTTGACTCCCATGGGGCTTGGGACTTTCTAGGTATCCAGGGATACCCCTCAGGGCTCAGAATAATGCTGCAAACACAGAGCTGTGGCTAAATAGATGCTTGTTAACAAGTCAAGATAAACATGGGACAACAATATTGTTGAGCATAAACTTAAATAGAAGCTGAAATACTCAGGAATTACAAAGGAAGTCCCACGCTATTCTCAGCTAGTGATATTTAATTTGCCATTGTACAGTTGTCTTTATTTTTTATGTTTTAGACTTTTGATTGTACAGTTATTACTTTTAGTTCTTTGTACTTAGAATAATAAATAAAGTCACTGCTGTTTATACTTTGCCTTATTCTGGATTTTGTGATTTGAAGAGAAACAGAAAATTCTTTCAGGGTCTACAGAATTGCAATTAACATCTAGAAATATTTGAAAAAGAATACATCTGGAAGCATAAAGATATTTGAATTATTTTAAATTAATTATAACATATTAATATCAAATATAAAATTATTTATTAATATAAAATGTCAACCTATTTAAATTTTAACATAGTCTAATAGACTATGTTAAGAGACTATAGTCTCTTGTATAAGAAAGGTCTTGAGGTTAATGGGTCTTAATTTCAGTGAAAACAAAAAAAGAAGAAATTACACTATGAATAAAAATGTCCGGGCTTCCCTGGTGGCGCAGTGGTTGGGAGTCTGCCTGCCGATGCAGGGAACGCGGATTCGTGCCCCGGTCCGGGAGGATCCCGCGTGCCGCGGAGTGGCTGGGCCCGTGAGCCATGGCCGCTGAGCCTGCGCGTCCGGAGCCTGTGCTCCGCGATGGGGGAGGCCACAGCAGTGAGAGGCCCGCGTACCGCAAGAAAAAAAAAAAAATGTCCTCATAGTAAGAGTGGCTAAAATTAATGCAGATTATTTAAAATAGAGTATTCATATAAAACAAAAATTTTATGAAAAAGATTAGTAAATTCTCAAAGATTGCAGAAAAATTATATTTACTTACTTCATGCCACCAAATTGGAATAATTCCCTATAGCCTTTCTCAGAGATATTTTGAAAATTAACTCCTGGTAGTAACAGAGAAACAACAAAATCTAAAATATACATCAGTCTATATACTCCATGGAAGTGATTATTAAAGTGTTTTTTTCAACCTGAGTTTTAAAAGACCAATCTATGACCTGCTGACCTGTAGTCATTGAATAAAGTTCTGTCAGTAGGTATTTTAAGGTAATGTTGCTGAGGTATTTCATTAACATATATACATACATATATATATATATATATATATATATATATATATATATATATATATATATATATATATATATACTCTGACTCAGTTTTCCAATAACTGGAAGGTTTTGCCATGAAAATTCTAATAGCAAAGAATTATCAAGCTGTTACCATGAGTCAGAAACTGACCAGTGTTTTTCACATATATAACACTGTGGTTCCTTAATTGTGAAGTCCTTTTTACTTTTAAAGATTATTTTTTGCACAAGTGTTTTTCAGGGAAATACATTCAGCTTTGATATTTGCAAAAGCTATGGATGGAAGAGCCATCAGGGGTTTCAGTACTTTGTACTTTGACATGTCAAACTTATTTTACTTTTTTTACTTTTTTTACTTTGTACTTTGACATGTCAAACTTATTTTACTTTTTCATTGGTAAAGTTAGATTTGGTGGGTAGGAGTTCAAGGCCCAATAGTAAGACAAATTTTTCAAACTCAGTCTATCATGAAAGGAAAACTGAAAGAACTTCTTACCTAAGACTTATTTATGTAATAGACTATTTTACTTCCATTCTCAATAAAAATGGTCCTGGAGACCCTTTTATTTTGAAATGGTTCTTGGAATCGAGATCTGTCAGACTCATCTGTGAATCTTGTTAAATATCTAATGCTATTAAATATTACAGGTGGCCAAACTGTCAAAGGTAGGAGCTCCAACTTTGTTAAATGTTCTACGTAAGATATTTCAGAGCTTTTATAGAGATTAGGATTAAATAAAAAAAAACAACTCATGTGTTTTATTGATTGCATTAGTAAAACCAGATTAAGGATTCTGCATTTGAGTGAGAAACCCTGTAAGGTGCAGTCATTGAAAACAGAGTGGGAGTGATTAAGAGATTAGTACCTACTTTTTATCTTGCCTTAGACTGTTTATAACTTTCTATTACGTTACTTTCAAAGGTGTTTTTTCATGACTTAATCCTACTTAGCGAAGTGCTGCAAATCATTCCATGTTCATAGAGATGGATGTCAAACGACTCACCTGTCTTGTTGATATCAAGACCTGCTAATTTCAAGGCTAATTCATTGCTGTTACCACTTGCAGAGGAAACCAGGATATCATGTATTGCATTTCTTCTACCCGTTCTTCCTGAAGCAATAAAATCTGCATATGTAGTTTCCACATCAGTCATTGCTAACAAATATCCACATAGCAGGAGCTACAAAACAGGGAAAAATTAATAGGTAAATATAATGTTGGTCAATGGTAAACATTTAACAAAGATACTTGTTAAATTACTGACCTATAATATGGATGTGAAATAACCTTCTTGCTTACATGTCCACAAGCAAGTAATGCTTTGATTCTTGATCAAGGGTCAGGGAACAATTTTTGTAAAGGACCTGATAGTAAATATCTTAGGCTTTGAGGGTATATAGTCTTTATCCAACTACTCAACTCTATGGTTGTAGGACAAAAGTACTCAAAGAGAATACATTAAGTGAAAGTAATAAACTAAACTTATAAAAATAGGCATAAGGCCAGATTTGGCCTGCATGCCATAGTTTGTGGACACCCACTTTAGATCATAAAATTCTCCTTCTCTAATACCATTTTAGTCAGTCTTCAACTCCAGAAAGAAGAACTTGAGCTCAGTAGCATACCAAAGTGGTGGGAGGTGGAGTGGAAGTGCTCCACCCTAGACATGAGCTGTAAGCAAGGGCATTGTTTGCAGAGAACCTAAGAACAATAATGAAATTGACCAAAATCCAGTTTGCTTTTTATTATCATCTTGCACCAGCAATTTTAAACAATGCCAGTGACCAAATACCGCTCCCAGTCCAGGAGCACAGCTCCCTTGTTGCTTACTTGTTAAGTCATTCCTTGGGAGGGATAATAATCTTTCTTGACTGAAACTTTGAAATAAAATCTTCAAAATTACAAAGGACTCAATGAAAGTGAGTTTCCCCAAACAGACCTGGTAACACACATACTTAATTAAAGACTTAATGAAGAAAATATTTTCAAGGTAGAATATGAGATACATGTAATAACAAAAGATCATCAAATGTAAATCTTTCATTTCTTTTTTTTTTTACATCTTTATTGAAATATAATTGCTTTACAATGATGCATTAGTTTCTGCTTTATAACAAAGTGAATCAGTTATACATATACATATGTTCCCATATCTCTTCCCTCTTGCGACTCCCTCCCTCCCACCCTCCCTATCCCACCCCTCTAGGTGGTCACAAAGCACTGAGTTGATCTCCCTGTGCTATGCGGCTGCTTCCCACTAGCTCTCTACCTTACGTTTGTTAGCTTATATATGTCCATGACTCTCTCTCGCTTTGTCACAGCTCACCCTTCCCCCTCCCCATATCCTCAAGTCCATTCTCCAGTAGGTCTGTGTCTTTATTCCTGTCTTACCCATTCCAATTACATTTTACTATAGTTTAAGATTAACAACTCATGCCAATAATCAAGAGAAAGGAGTCTTTTCAAAATATACGAAACGTGGAAGAAGCAAAAATGGTAGAACCCATACACTATCATGGGCATGCACACTGTCACTCTGAAATAAATTGATGCCATTTACAGTGAAATCCAGGATGGCAGTCAGTAGCACTTTCCTTAAAGCTTAGTTCTTCTCCCAGTGCATAATGAGGGAGCTATTAATTTAATCTGGGGAAAACTTTTATACTCTCTCTTCTGTAAGAGGAAGCTAAAAGAGGAAAGAGGGAGGAATAGCACAATACAAATTTTGAAATATATGAATACTGCATGCTTTACTGTGACTATATTATGGTTCCAATCACTTGACTATATCCATCATTCTTTTTCATGGGAATATGATTTAATGGTTGTTACCATGTTACTTAAAATTTCCAAATGCTCCTCAGAAGATCCTGGATTTAGTCCTGCCCCTGACATTGGGTCATGGAGTGACAGAAAATCACTTGACCTCCTGGCCTTCCATTTTCTAATAAGTAAAGCAGGACAGCTGGATGACATAATCATTAATGGCACTTTAAGTGAAAGTGTAAAAACAATGATCACTCAAAACTATATCATTTCTAGAATCTTGAATTTGGAAATTCCCTTCTGTGACCATAACCACCAATTTTTTTTCTTTTCCTCTTACAATGAATCTGTTCTTCACACTGGTCATATCTTTAATTCCTTTAACCCTTTTTGTTTTAGTTTCTTCTAGGCCCAGTCTGGATCAATTGCCCACCGTTTCGTGTAGCTTCTCATTAGCATCAAGAAGTCCCTTTGGTCTACCGTCACCTTGACTTTCCTAAGCCTCACCTGGAAAACAGCATGGTACACTTTCTCTGATCTCATTACTGGGTTGATAAGTGTTACCAAAAAAGTCACAAAATTGTGCCAATTGGCTCAACTAAACATTTTTACTCTATTATTAGTATACACTCTGAGTTGAACGGAAATTCTTTTGTTCACCTTTATTTGACTCTTCTGTATGGCTTCTCTCTGTGGGAAGGATTCCAAACCCTTTGTAGTCCACACAACCAGACACTACCTGCCTTAAGAGGTGACTTTGCATCTTCTTTCTTGGGGAAGATATAGGACATCTGCTGCAAGTTCTCTTACATTTCTTCCTTTCTCAAATACATTTCTCTGTAAGTCACTATTGTTTCTTTTCTAGATGAACTAGCTGCTTTCTTTTTAAGGCATGCTATTGATTCTATTTCCTATTACCTCCTGTAGGACCTTTCTCCATCCATTTTTTTCTCAATAATTTGAGTCTTCTTTCTCCTCTGGATTTCTCCGCCAAGTTTATAAGCATGTTCAAGTCTTTCCTTACTAAAAATAAAATGAACCAACCATTCAACCAAATACCCATTCCTCGACCTTCATAAGTCTTTGCACTACCTTCTCTTTCCTTCATTAAACTTCTCAGGAGGGTTCAACTACTTTTATTTTCTCACTTTCCTTGAACCAACCTTTAGAATTTTTCTATTCCATTGGCCTTTATATAGTATGTTTTACAGAGACTACTTTCATATAGATCACTGAAATGATCTATATTAACGTTAAGTAACTGCTTAGTGTTAAATGTTCTTGTGAGTGTCTATCCTGTTTGAGCTCACATGACACTGCCAGTTACATTCTCCTTGAAACTCTCCCCTAGCATATATTAAGATTTATAGAGGCAAAATAATTATAAGAATCAGACTTATCTGTATTTGAATCTAAACTTTCCATTTACTTGTTATGCTATGTCTAATCCCTCTGTACTCAGTTCTTTATCTATAAATTGTGATAAATATACTTAGTTCCCAAGATTATGAGAATTTACTTGGATTATGTATCTCAAGAGATTAACACAGTGTTTGGCGCATGGTGGGTAAGTACTGATTTAAAAAAAAAAAAACTGTCACTTTCTTAGCTTTCATGATCCCTTACTATCCTGGTTCCATCCCATTTGACCTTTGTATTTTTTACAGACTTCCCTTTCTAGGGTCACCTTTAGAAATAAGCACATTTTGTAGGAATTTAGAATCAGTCATTGACCTTCTTTACTTTCTTACTTGAATAACTCATCTAATCCCAATGCTTCTAATTCCTCACTATGGATAATACAAACGTCTGCATCCGCTATTTAGAATGTTCTCCCAAGGTCCTCACACACAAGAGCAACTGCCTGCTGAATAGGGACTTCCACTTGGTTTTGCACAAACATTTCAAATTCAATAAAACAAAGTAAGACAAAAACAAAACACATAAAGAGAGAAAACTGGCTTCATTAATATGCTGTGTTGGGGCATATTTTGACTTATTTCTCTCACTTGATATCCATGTCTAATCATCTGCCAGGTCATGTTGGTTTCTATTTGATGTCACTCATATTTATTCTCTGTAAAACATAGAAAAAGCTCTTGCCAGGATTACTGCTGAGTTTTCCCACAATCTGAAAAGAACCTACTTTTGCTGCTTTAACTTTAACCACTCACTCTCATACTTGGTATGCTACAGAAAAATGCAGTGTTTTCCCAGAGCCTCTCTGACGTTGCATTTGCTCAAGTCTGTTATTCAACCTGGAATGCCTTCTCCTGACAAACTTGCTTGTTGAAATGGATTTAGCCCTCAAAATTCAGCCAATGCCATCTTCTCTTTGTCTTCTTTCCCCTATCTCTTCACCTAGCACTCCCACAGGCCTTGATTTGTGCCCGTACAGGGCGTTAAAATTCTAACTGGCATCATGGTTGACTCTCCTTCTAGACAGATCACAAGTTCTGACAAGACAGGAAATGCATTTTGTTAATATTTTAACTACATAGAATTCCTAGTTGAGCCTCTTGCACATAATCAGTGCTGAATAAAAGTATGTTGAATAGAACTGAACAATGAGGAAGAAATACATTAATCACCCTTCATCAGTAGCCACAGAGAATTTCCCTATCCCTGGGTTATACTAAATCACCAAATCCTAAAACTCTGGAAGGTTTTATAGGTGAAAAATCTGAGGACCAGATAGTTCAAGTGATCTGCCCATCTTCACATAGTTAATTAATTAAGTGGTTGGAATGAAAATCCCAGTCCACTCTTTCTGTTTTACCAGGTTGCCTGTCAGTGAGTAAGCTACGAATTTGCATAACGTTTTTGACCTTGAAGTAATTCGGTGTTATTATAATGATATTTTCATTACCTACTCCACTATCATTAACCAACGTAGTACTTAGTTTCTATGTTACTTTAAAGATTTAGAATTGGATATCTTTACCGATTTCTTTCTATGGTCACATTTTGAAATAAGGGCACATTTTGTGGAAATTTATAATCAGTCATTGACCTTCTTATATCTATCAAATATATCTGATAAAAAGGCGAAGTAGGTTACAGGAATAAGCTCATCTCAAAGTCATTGTTATTGTCTTTCATTCTTAGTCTCTTTATGGCTTTTTAAAACATAGGCTTTAAAAATAGCACAACTGCTATTATTTCTCATCTGATAACAATGTTATGAAGTAGGCAAAAATATCCTCATTTTCATTTGAAGAAAATAAGTCAGAGATGTTAAGTGACTGCTAAATAACACACGGAACTATGACTTGAACCCAGGTCTGTGGGTTTTACATAAAGAACACTGTATTTTGCAATAAAGTTCCTTGATTTTTGCCATTATCATTTTTTAAAATGCAGACTGTCATAATAATATTCATGTATGTGGGAGTTTACATCTAATTCACTTTGCTGATAATAGTTTTAAGAAGACTTGAAATATCAGAGTGAGACAGAAAAAAGTGGTGACATTTTCCATGAGAAGATATGAATTAAAAGGAGTACTGCGTTATGATTTGTATATCTGGGAATGTTAATTTCTGTGATGGTGGTAATTCTATTTATAAGAGGGGAGCCAAAAACTTAATCTGAATTTTCATTTAGGGTACTCCTAAGTAATGAGCACATGGAAGAAGAAACAGGGTTATGAGAGATGTATGTGTATACTGTGTTCGCCTTTGAAATGTGTGTATCTAGATTTCAATTGGATTTATTGAAAGACAATAATGAGAATTGTGAGAATAGATTATTGTGTAAACTCCTTTTCTTCTTAAGCATTTATGAAATATATTTGCTAGATTGATGTGCATCTTATTGTAAACCTCTAAAGTAACATAGAAAGTACTGGGCATTCAATTATGGTAGCCATTATAATTATTATTATAATAGTTATTATTATAAAGTAGTATTTCACTTTTATTAGATGTTTTCTCCAGACAATAAACTTAATTTTCAGTAAAAAGAATGATAGCTGACAAATAGCACATATTTAAATACATGCATGAAGAGTGTAGTACATTTTGAAACAAAACATATACATGTTATAAACGCTGTATCTTTTTCTCTCTCTCCATGATTATACTTCCTTAATGAATTCCCATTAGGTGCATGTAATTTTTACATGCATGGCAGCTATGTTTTTTTCCTTTCAGCTAAACATCTTGACACAGCTTTTCAATTTATTGGTATGACTACCAGAGATTGGAAATAACTTTTACCCCAATATAATCACTGTATAATGACTTGTAGTTAGCTTAGAAATTCTGGGGAAACTGTTGCCGAATGACTATGGCTGACAGATGTTCACCCAAAAATGACAAAAGTCAAAAAAAAAGTCTAATAAGTGTCAGCAGCTGGTAGAGATTTAATAGAGTAGCACTTAGCACACATTCTGGCCTTATGCAAAATAAACTAATCAGAATAAAACTTGGAAAAATTTACCAGAAGTGGGCTTTGACTCTTCACTAAAGCTTCCTATTTATGTTGCTATAATTAGGATTTTCTAGACATGACAAAATGGTAGTATTGGATATAACCAAGATAATATGGTGCTATTTTTTGTATCTAGTTATATACAAGAGCTAATTATACTAATATTCAAAGTCTGATTAGAGGGAGGAAAAGACATTTTATTATTTAAGTACTGTACTATTTAAAATGAGATTAAATTTTAAAGCATAAATTTCTAAATATTGATATCTAAAAATCCAATCAAAATTCATGACTGAGAAATAACCTTGCTTTCTTTTCCCCCTTCTTAAAAAAGTCTCACTTTCTCCCTCTTTAACAAAGGAAACAGTATATTGGTATTCTAAAATTGTTTTGTTTGTATAATGGATTTCTAAACTGAGATTCATAATTTGTGTTGGTCTTTCCCTTATTTATGCCCTTTATCTTTTTAAATATCATTTACACAAATTGAGAGGATAAACCAAATTTCACCCTAGCATAATTTATAGATAGACTGCAAGAGGCTAGAAAAAGTATGTACTTACGTCTCCTGTATTAAACAAATTGCAGTGTCCGCATAGATGTATTCTAAAAGAAGTTGGGTCTATGAAGCTGCTTAAATGATTTTTATAGTGACATTGAGTCATGAGCCAAATGGTGACTGGATAACATGCTAATTTTACTCCTGTAAATGGGGACACATGAAAATGAGACTCACAGACTTGGAAGAAAGAATGGAGAGAATGTCATCAGCAGGCACTGAAGTCTTCTCTCTAATATAAATGGTATGATTTTTTTTTAAAAGAGAAGGAAAATTCTTCCTCTACCATTATTACAAATGCAGTTACATGACTTCTCCATTGTTACTTTATGAAATCATGTGAAGTTTGCTAAAAGTCATTGAGTAGTTTCCTATGTGCTTAAGACTTGGTCTACATTAGTGTTTCTGAAACGTTGTGGTCTCAGATATCCATTACATTATCAAAAATTACTGAGAACCCACATGAGATTTTGTTTATATAGTTATATCTGCCAATATTTACCATATGTGAAATTAAGACTGTAAATTTTAAATATTTATAAATTCACTTAAAATATAAATAAAAAGCCCATTATGTTTCAGTAAATAATATATTTTTAGTGAAATGAAATATATATTCCAAAGCCAAAATAAAATAGTGACAAGAATAGCATTGTTTTACATTTTGAAATTCTCTGGCTTAGTTTTGCAAATGTCCGGCTTAATAAAAGACACCTGGTTTCTCATATCTGCTTCTGCATTCAATGTCTCAATATGTTGTTTCAGTTGAAGTATATGAAGAAAATCTGGCCTCACACAGATTTCTTGGTTGGAAAAGTGAGGAGAATATTAATAGCTTTTTCAGATAATTATGGATTTAAAAATTTTTCAATGTGGAATCTAAAACCATATCAATATGCTTCCCTTACTGTTTTATTAAAATCTATTGTCTACTTTGCAACTTAAATGGATCTTTTGCTCATGTGTATTTTTAAAAATATCAGGTATTGGTCATTTGGAAAAATATTGGTTCACTAGGTTATGCAAAATTTCCAAATAGTAGCTTATTTCATTATACAATATCACATTTGTTAGTAATGCCACCTATCTCAACAGAAAATTCTTTAAGATTGAGAAACTGACAAGTTCACAGGGGCCAATAATAAGTTTTCCAAAATTGTAATTTTTATTTGAAAGCTCAGATTTTATCATTGGCAACAGATACAGTTGGATTTTGCTTCTCTTGAAGTGACAAGCTCACTTTGTTCATTTTCAAGAAAATCTCTGCCAGATATCCAAGTTTGAAAAAACCACAGTTTGCTTGTCAGTTGTTCTTTCAAGTAAAAATGGTGATTCATGAGAAAAGTGGCTAATTTAGCTCTCAACCCAAGCAATCACACAAGTACTTACTTGAGACAACCATGCAGTTTGGTACATCTTCACTGACTTACCATTTCATCACACAGAATATTAAAAAGACCTCTATTCAAGGGTCAAGATTTGACAAAATTAGTATATTTTTACTCCTTAATCAAGTACATTCTTAGGTACATCTTGTATTTTAAAAATACTAACTCTGAGTGTGTGGCAGTGAAGAATACCAGGCTTACTAGTAGTTTGCTGCTACTGACTTGATTCATGCTAAGGTGTCAGCAGTCTTCCCCACCATGCTTTTGCACCATTAGTGCAAATGGCAGCCAAGTGAAAAAGGTAAATAGTATCAGTATTATTATGAAAATTATTTTAAACTTGTGAATCCACTGAAAGTGTCTCAGGGAATGACTGAAAGGGTCATTGGGGACATGCAGGAGTTGGGGGACCAAATTTTGAGAACTGTTGATCTACACAGTAACAGGAAGCTATCTGACAAACACTATGGATTAGAGAAGGGAACCCTTTTGTAAAGAACTTAACTAAGCAAGTTTTTGATTCCTAAAATATTCTGGAAATAATCATCTATTTCCATGCTAAGTACAATACTATCTATCTTTTTCTCTTTTCTTTTCCGGTATAAGAATATTACTTATTTATCTAATTCAGGCTTACAAACAATCTAATAGCTTATTTCTAAGAACAACCCCCCAATCTCACAAATCAGAGGGCTTCAAATTAAGTCTCATGAGCTCAGGACAGGGTGCCAGAACTTGATGCTACCTTAGTTCCCCTTTTCCTTGAATTGGGCTATATTCTAGTCACATTTTGGAGTAAGTGACAACAAAGAAGAAATCAAGAACCATACCCTGTTAATAGCAACAATTTGAAAATTTCCACAGAAGTCTCCTCTGTTAAGGCATCATTATAAATCCTGCACCAGATCATGACATTGCATGCTCTAGAATACCATTTGGTATAATGGGACACATATTGTCCTTTAGAAGAGTTTGGATAGTGTCCTATCAAAAGCACACTTAAAAAAAAGTAATCTCATATACTGAGTTGTACCACAGAATGATGCCAACACATATTAACTCTGCGAAGTCAAACCCTCTTTTGTTCTAAATCCAAGGCATTGACTTTTTAAATCACAAAATATTGCTAGAATAAATTTTGCCTAAGATGAGAAAAAAATAGGCTGTCTTTGATGGTTTTCACAGTAAGTTTTTGACTAATACTACTAGAAATAATAACCCATCTACATTTGTTGGGGGGAGTTCGTCACTTCTTCCCTGATTTTCAGTGTATAATAAAAATTCTCAAGTTCAAAAATGTCCAACATTTGATACTAATGGTTATTCTTCTCAATCTTCTCTCTATTCATCAATTCATCTCTGATCCCCAGTAATGTGATAATTGTGATCCTTATGCCTTCATTCAAGATTATATATATATTTTTCCTTGTTTTGACATGGGCACATTTTCATATCGTTTTTGTAAATTCATGACCTAGTCAATTGTATTATTACTTAACTTCTCTGAAACTTCTTTTAGCCCAGATTCAAATCCTTTTTTTTTTTCTTTCCACAGTGCTTAACAAATCAAAACTTTTTGATTTGTTAAGCCTAAAATGTTATAAAGCCTAAAAATGTTATAAAGCAAGAAGCACAGGCTATCTTAAGAAAATATTTTCACTGTCTAATTAGGCAACAAGTGACCTCAAAACTATTCATAAATTCCTTTGTTGATCTCTGGCTGACCCGTTCACCACCCTTAAAAACAGCAATTTCTTCATTTTTTTGTGTTTCTTAAGTCTCACTTGTATTTCATCTTCTTTCACTCCATAGAAAAATCCTGCCTAATGAATTTATGGAGAATGTCAAGGTCGTCCTACATAAATTCCTTCAACTGCTGTTTCTTTATCATCACATCAAAATTGCCATCTTTTTATTTGAGTCCTTTTGCCAACATTAATACCTGACTGGTGCTCTTGATTCTATCTTCTCTCCTATTATTTTTCCTTCAATCCTGCCTTGTGCTTCTGGAGTCTTTCTTTTCCCTGCTTCTCCAATGCCTATAAAATTATGTACATATTCCCTGTTATAAAATATATTTCATCTTTTAGCTCTGTTCTTTTTGTCACTCACCTTTTATTTTCATTTACTCTCAAACTTACAGAAAAAGAGGTAGGTACTAATTTTCCTGCATCCTTTACAATGCTTTATTTTTAATTCCTTTGCAATTTAACTTACATATCTATCAATTTACCAGAATTGTTTTCTCAGAGAAAAACCATTACAGATGAATCACAAAATCCAATAGGCTTTTCACAGTAATCATCTATATCAAATTGGGTACAACATTTTACATTGCTATTCCTCTCTTCTTGAAACATCTTTCTCCCTTGCCTCTGATAGTTACTGTACTCTTGATTCCCTCATAATCTTCTTATATTTCTTCTTGCTCTTTCCCTCATTTCACTATTAAATAACATATTTTCTCTCTTTTGTTCTTTATGTTCTGTTTGGTAATCCCATTTACCCCAACTGTCTTAAATTCCAACTGTGTATAGACGGCTATCAAATCTATAATTTGGGGGCCTGATATTTTTCTGAAGTGTAGCTTGGGAATTTTTACTGCCTATTGGATATTCCCTCATGTTTGTCCTTAAAAACTCAAATTCAGTAAGTTCAAATGGAATCTCTTTGCTGCATCTCTACCTCCACCCCCCAAACTATTTATTATCCTTATCATTTTAGTGTATATTACTACTATTTTCTTAGGTATCCATGATATTAATAGAAATCTTAGAATTGTGTTCAGTTACTTCCATCTCACTAATTCTTCCCAGCTAATCAATTCTCAAACCTCATTGTTTTAATTCTATCCATTCAATGCTTCTTTAGTATTCTTCATTTCCGTTCTTTGTCTGGTCACTCCCTTCATCATCTCTTTCTTGACTATTGCAATTATAGGCTAACTACTTACTTATCTAAACTTATTCTTTTCCAAGTTACCCTTTACATGTTCGCCAGAATTAACTTTATTAAACATAAAATATTCAAAAATCTTCAGTGGCTCCTGGGAACCCTCAAAACATAGTTGTAACTTTATTTGCATGGCGCTCAAGAATGTGAACCCAACCTAATTTACTAGCATTTTTCCCTATACTATCTCTCCCATGTATACTAAGTTAGATCATAGCAAACACTTGCTATATCTCTGGTGTTCTCTTATTGGTCTTCTCATGCTGCTTTTCTCAACCTGGAGTGACCTTCTCTCCCAATGAAAACAAAATCCTCCTCATCTTTCAAACCCAGTTTACAAGCCACAACACCTCCCCATCTCCAGGTAAAATAAATAACTTTATTACAATATTTATTTAATTTGGCACTATGCAAGAATTAATTATTTTCAAGTTGCTCTTCTTGCTATATTATATGTTCCTTGAGATCCGGGTGTTTGAGTTTTGAGTCCCCTCAGAATGCTTGGCACAGGATTTTGTATGTTGTTCCTACATCTGCAAAAAAGTATATTGTAGATTTATTTTTAATCATCATACTCAAGATCCTTATTGGTAAAATAAATTTGTCAACGTTATCCCATTGTCAATAGTAAAAGTATTGATAGCTCAGAAAGCCTGTTTCTTTATTCTTATTCATTTCATTTTCCTGTCTCATAATACTTATCATCAATATAA